GAGTCCTCTTCCAGGCTCTGCAGCTGCTCCTGGAGATGAGCTTTATCTTTCGACAGCTCGCTCACCCGGGAGGACAGAGTCTGAAGGAGCCCTGTTTTCTCCTTTACCTCGGCCTCCACCTCCTGAACATGACGGAGACACTCTCCTTGATGAGACTCCAGCTCTTGTATTTTCTCCCTCATCATTGCAGACATCCGGTCCAGGTCTTTGTTTTGTTTTGACACAGCATCCAACTCTCCATGAAGTCGGTTTCTTTCCCTTGTGACCACACGGAGTTCTTCTTCAAAAGAGACAATAACGTTCTGCTTATTTTCATTGTCCTCTAAACTTAGCTTCTCCACTTGAACTGGTACTAAGTCAGCCTCCCCAGAGAGAATGTGGTGTTCAATGCTAGCGTTCTCTGATTTTTTCCTGTTCAGCTCATTTTCCACATTAAGAAATCTCTCCTTCCAATTGCCATTCACCTTGGCTATATTATCTTCAATAACTCCATATGACGATTTATCTGTGCCTGTGTCCAATCGTGAATTGGGGCCTTCCAAAGTTTCTACTCTCTGGTATAACTCCCGGTTATCACAAGAAAAGGATTGCAATTTTTCACTTAAATCTGAATTTTCTTTCTTAAGTTTCTCAACTACTTTTTCCAGTTCTCTGCAGGCTTCTGTCTTGGTTGTTAGTTGTACTTCCTGTAAGTCGAGTTTTGAATCTAACTCTTTTATTTTATTTAGCAAACTTCCAAGTCTTTTCTCACGGTCCTCTATCACATGAAGTAATCTCAAATTTTCACTTGATGTCTCTTTCACTTGCAGCTGGAGATTCTGGATGGCTACCTGATTCCCCAGAAAATCCATGGGTACCAAAGCATTAGGACCAGAAAACAACAATTCAGAAATGCAGTCTGCACAGCCCTGGGTTTTATCTTCTGCTGGAGCCTCACAGTTGGTTTCTGAGGAGGGCTCCCAGGACCGCTCTCTTGCAAGTTCAACTGCCCCAGTCTCGCTTATTTCCTCAGTCTCTGGACTGAGGTCTTGCTGGACATCTTCACCACAAATCTGATGAATGCCATGCTTGGGTGCTCTCTCTGCAGTTTCTGAAGCATATTCTTCTGATTCTTTTATGTCACAGCTATTGTTTTGGCCCCGAACAGCCTGTAATTATAACAAATAACAAGAATGCATCTTACTTTTCAAGAAAAATCAAAATGAAATTAATAGGCTTAATTATTATTTTATAGAAACTCATGTCTGGCTTCTTCTAAACGCAGCCCTTCAAATGGCATATCTCCCACATCGTTCTCTCTCCAACCAAATATTCAACACAATTAAAGACTCAGTAGGTGCCCCCCTGAGCAAGGCACTGGGTAAGGTATTTATCATGAAGACAAACCCTCCAGATCAGCAATCTTATCAACTAAATTGTAACATATTTAGATTTCATATTTTCCTCCTTGCTAGGAATATTCTAGGTAGCCTAAATAAAATTTCTCTTTGTGATTATCAAATAAGAGGCTAACATATTCCATACAAAATGCTCGACTTCCATCTTCAAGTGTCTATGACATTCTTTAATAAGAGAATAAGTAAGGTTTCCTGACCAGACTCCCAGCCTGAGGACTAAGTCACTGATCCAGCACTTTCTATGAGCATTCTTGGATAAACTACCCATTGAGTGTCAGGTTCCTCTCATCTGTAAGAAGGGGATGTGCTGTCGTAACAAATACGCTGCCTCCTCACTATGACCTGGCCGCCTCCCTCACAGACAGGGACAGAGGGGAGCAAGTGAGACTCATCAACCACACAGCATCAGCTAGGCGGGTACACTAGAAAGGATGAAGTTATAAGCAACTAAACAATTATGCATTTAATAAAGAAATTAATTTCTCTTCAAATGGCTGATGCCAAATCACGGACTTCTGCCATAGGTTCACTTATTTTCCTAAAGTTCTGGCTTGTTTGGGAAAAAAACTTGGTTCATTTTGTTTCCTTGAACCCTAAAATTACTTTTAGATTTAATGTAGATTTCAATTCAGCATTTACTGAGTGCCAACTAGTCATGTAAACAGAGAAAGAGAAATAAATCCCAGCATGTAAATCCCAGGTACTTACATCTTCAATGTCAGCGCCAAG